ACAATATCTACTATATTGTTTCTTTATTTTCATTTTTATATCCCATTTCTCAAATCTTCGATTTTTACATAAGCAGCTTTGGTTTTTTTAGCGCATATTAACCAGAAAGTTGAATGGAATCCTTTTCTCTAATGCTAAGCTTATATTACTTAATGACTTCTGCTAATTTTTCACCTTTCCAGTTACTGCAGTGGGGTAATTTTTAAATTTTTTTACCAAAGGTTCTTCACAACAACTGTAGACCTAAATTTCTGCTCCCTAATTTGTAAAAAAAACCATCCTGCTTTTTACAGGAGACCATGCATTTGGACCTTTACCTGGTTTTATTTTCTTTGTTTTTTGGTAGGGGTTTTTTTGTTTGTTTGATAGTTTTTAAGGGATCTAAATCTATACTTTAAACAAAGGAGATTCTGAATTATTATTTATGAAAGCAAGGAGCAATACTTGACTTAGGATGTTCAAAATGTCACATTATAAGAATGTCCTGAGCTGGAATAACTGCTAGACCAACACCTAAAGAATATTTCCTTTTTTTTCCAGGAAAAAAAAAAAAAAAAAGGTTTATTGTTTATTTTCTTTTGTCATTTTATGTATGAAATGTAAACATAATTTCTTAGGACTTTTTTAAACTATACCATATTGGAACATATAATAAGTAGATTCTCTATTGTGAAACCAAACTGGGAAGAAGCAGCTTCCCTCAATCTGTTTAATAATGATGGAATTACAGTTACATTCTATCATAAAACCAAAAAAGTGTTTTGCTCTCTAAGGCCATGATAAAAGCATAAAAGAGGAGCCCATTATCCTGACATTTCAAATATTGTTTCTATGGTCAATATCAAATCTATGGCTTTTGAGGGGTGTTTTTAGTTGGGTGGTTGTGTGGGTTTTTGAGACAAAGACAACAAATATGACTTAGATAAAAATTGTCTTCTCCCTATCTAGTTTCTATCACTTCAGAAAAGGGGTATATTAAGAAATATGCAAATAATCTCTGCTTTTTGCTAATTCTGTCTTTTCTTCATTTAGTAGAGCCACGCTGGCAACAGAACACCAAATTTCAGTATCCCTCCCTTTCTGCTTTCCAACCCATACTTACTAGTGGCAGTCCTCAATCAATAGTAGTGCAAATTTTGTTCACTTATCACATCTAGTCTAATCAGATTCACACCAAGATGGAATCAAGACATATAATTCTGCAAAATAGAGGCGAAGTATAAGTCTCTATTATAGTGTACCATGAACACTAGCATCTGTGCATTCCCATGGGGTTTTCAGTCTCATCTTTGTTTTCCATTCATAAATTTTCAGATCCCTTGCTTATACTCTGGTTTGGCATCCCTTAGGTAATGAATGAGATGGTTTTTAGTATATGCCTTACGATAATAAGATAGGGCTCTTGTAGGGTATTGTGTCTGTATTCATAACGTCAGGGTGGGTACTTAAAATATGCAGTTATTCATTTAACAGTGCCTTAAAAAATATCATTAATTATATGCTACTAGAACTTCAACATTTGCATTTAGATCAACATAAGGCAAAAAAAAATAAGTCACACGTTATAATTTAAGAATATATATGAATAAATTCTGGAAATGTATTCAAGTTTTCAGACTAGTAGTTTTGAATTTTGTACTGGGCAAGTTTTCATATTCCTTCTTTTCCACTCACTGGCAGCTGGTGTTTCATTCCCTCTTCAAAACATTCTCTGTCATTTCCAAAGGAAGAACGGAATTGCAGTCTGCCATTTATGACTGAGACAGGTTTTACAGATCCCTGCTTTGCACTGTTGTGTGTTCCTGTGATCTGCCATGCTGAATACATAGTAGATCTCATCTGGACCTCCTGGAGGAAAGAAATAAATTCTTCCCTCCTATTAAAACCCTGGACACTTTTGACAGACCAGCTCACACCCATGGGAGAAGGACAAAAAGACACTGAGCTGGAGGAATAAGGTTCTGTAAAGAAAAGTAATGTATTGTAAAGAAAAACTGCATGTATCTCAACACCAGGGAGACTGAAGGGTTACCATGGTTTTTGACAAGACAGCTGCACCAGTGATTCATCAGGTTGTCTCAGATTGACATCTTTCTGAGCAAATCAGACTAAAATATGGGGTAGGGAGACTGGCCATGTGTATGTGGCTCAATCCAACATAAACTACAAAAACTGGACAAAATGGAAAAGTTTGAAGCGAGCAACAGGCTTGAGATGGTTTCAATCAATATATTTCTTCATGGGGACTTAGGCCAAGCATTGACATTGAGCAGATAGAGACCACAATGAGAATCGCATTTCTACTGTGATTCAACTGTATATTGCAAATGCTTTATCATGCTTCTGGTGCAATTTCAGTACACTGCTGTATTCCTCTGCTAATTTAAAATCCAGTGTAGTGTCAAATATGCTCAGTAAGAAAATTTGGGATTAAACACTAAACTCTCCTCATGTGTGAGCTCTGAAAGAATTTGGATGGAGAGTATTCAGCCTCTGCATGGAGATGTGATCAACTGGAACCTGTCTCTACATCTGTGTAGGACTGTAAATTACACAAGATCTGACTTCTTTGGTGCACCTTAATCTTTCAAATATACACCACAGGTCTCTGTATCCCTGTGCCCACATACCCCACCTTCAGTTCAGCACATAAACTGTGCTACGAAGTGTTGTTTACTGAAATAGAGCAGCCCATATCAGTTTGGTAAGAACTTTTTTATGCACAGAAGTCTCTCATTTTGAGACTGAGGTCTGAGTCAATATTTGCATGGGTAGATTTGCCATTTGGAAGGAATCTTCTGGCAGTAGCATAGTTGCAGAAATATTTTATTCTGCTTAAGCAAAACTAGTAAAAAGTGTCACAAATTTAGTTTGCTGATTGGTACTTTTATAACTACTTTAATGTCTCCCCTTCCCCTCTAATTGAGAAAGTGAGAGGTGGAAAGCCCTATTCTCACCTTTTTATTTAAGCACTCCTGTCAGTCAGAGATACAAAGGTTGGGCTGCAGCCCTGGTTTGGACTGTTTTCAACCTCCTTCTTGCTACCAGATTCAGAGATTACAAAGGGACTGATAAATCAAGAAAAGACCTCGGTCGTGGTCCAGCAGCTTGGGCTGCCCTTTGAGGTTGTAGTTTCCCATTCACAGAGAGTGGCTAAAAGATCAGATGATCCACACAGAGGCAAAGTCTTCCAAAAATTGTCTCATGGTCATGTTGTCTGAGCAGCTGTTGTGGAGAAGGCTTGCATGGGCTTCACCCCAACCACTCCATGCACAAGCTGCAGTCTACAGGCTCACTGAATATCTGTTATACCTGAATAGGTTCATGAACAAAGGCTGGAGGAACTCCTAGGTCAGGTTTGGGGGATTGAGAAGTTAATAAAATACCCAGTTCTTCATATAAAACTTTTTTAGGACATAGGGACAGCATCAAAAACCTGTCAGTGGGGACAGGGGCAGCCATGGGCAAATCCTGGACATGCCCAGGGTGTTGCTGGGCTTCTCCCAGGAAGACACCAAAGGACCTCTCTAACAAGTATTCCAGGTGGTTTCCCTGGAACAGGGTGGCCTGTGGAGCTCAGAGCTCTGTAGCACAGCATGGGAGTCTGCTCCTGCATTCAGGTGGAGACAGCAGCCAGCAAACAGCCACTTGGCAACCACATGACTGCTTCTCTCAAATCCTTACTCTGCTTTCTAAACTGGCATTTGAAGCAGCACAGGCCTCATGATGCATTAACCATTGACTAAGCTAGTATCAAGAAAGCATTGTAAGCAACATATTTTTTTTGCACAGCTGAGACTGAGCAGCTCCACTCACGCAGAGCTGCTCTGGGCAGTAAGTTTTGCAGCTAAATGCTGCCAACTCTTACAGAGTTCTAAGTACTTAATAGCAGATGAAGTACTGCCGTGTCCAAATGGTCTCTCTGGGGCATAGTTTTCCAAGTAATGAATCTAATGTGGGCATCCCTGTAGGAATTTATTGAATTTTGTCATGGGCTGTGTGTTTCTGACGGAAGCCAAGTCTGAAAAATGGTGATGTGCATTGTGTTGGTGTCTCCAGACACTACTGCTTTGCTTTGTTTTTGTCACAGTAGTCCTTAGTCAGAAAACAAAAAACTTCAGTTGGAACCCCCAGCAGCTTACAGGGACTTATTTGTGGTTATGCTCTGGACAAAGCAGTAGGCTTGTCTTTAGGGATACAGCAGTTGAGAAAGTCACCACAACATCCAGGTGCTGTCCAGGTCAGACCAGTCATAACCCTGATGCAAGTGGCTGTTGTTATTCATGTGCAGAACGTGACACTTCTCTTTACCACACTGCACAAGATTTTTCTTGGCCCATCCTTCAGGTTTATTAAAGTGCTTTTCAATTAACTGTACTACTTTTAACTCATCTACCCTTCCTCAGTTGGTATTATCCACACAAGCTAAATGTACATTCTCTCTCAATATGTCATCTCCCAGGTTGTTCCAGAAAACACCAAATAACATCAGCCCTGGGGCATTATTTTAATTACTGGTTGCCTGCAGACACTAAGATGTTAAATATAGCCCTTTGACCCTGTACTACAGACAATTTTCAAATATCTAACATCCTGTGGATCCTGCCCCTATTCCCTCTGATTCCAAATGAGAATGCAATGGGAGATGGTTCCAAACATGTCATTAAATGTCAACTCTATTGCACACAACATGCCTCCCTTGTTCTTGTTCTTGATTAGAACTTTCTAATCAATAGTTCTGTGATAATTACCTGTGCTTAGACATGAGCAATTTTTGTTGGCCTCCATCCATTATCAAGTCAACAGAATCCATTTTATTTCTGAGAGTTACTCAGTCACACTGGTTCTGGGGCTCTGCTATTGTTCCATGCACCATTTTCTACTCCCTATTAGAAGTTATTTCCTTACTGCTAACTTGCTTCAAAGACCATCAGTTTCTGTATTTTCTGCAATGTATAATGAGGAAAAACTACTTAATTTCTCATCATGTTTTAAGTGTTTAAAAAAATTTCAGTTTTTCAACCTTCTCTTTTTAGTCAGAGGACTTGAACATGCCTTTCCACTAGGAAATAGTTTTTAGGCACCTTACAATTACTCTTGCTCTCTTCTTTGTATTGACTCATTGTTCACTTGTCATTACCTGAAGTTTGGTACTAAAAACTAGGCCTGAAACTCAAAATGGGACTACACTATGCCAGATCTACTCAGGTGCTTGTCAATTGCTACTGACAGTAGAAGCTCTGCAACATTTTTAACGTTCTACTGACAGTGGTAGTTCTGCAATATATTTAATATTTGTAAAACTATTCTTTCTAGGTAAAGCATCTAATCATCTCTTATCAGGCATTTTTCAATACATAAAATGTCCTCAGTTGTTTTAGCATTTGTTTGCTTGTTGGTACTCACGGCACTTATATACAGGCTATGTAGGCTAAAGTCCAAATCATAAATAAAATTATACCAGGTCTAGGATTGATGCTTGCAGAACTCTGCAGTTTGACACTGCATTTTAATTTCATAGTTGACAATCACAATCACTTAAATACAAATTTCTAACTTGAAAAGGATGACGTTTCTGATACATCAAGTTTTCATGATTAATACTTTAATTTCAAATACTTTAATTTCAAATACTTTTCTAAAATAAAATAAAACAGAGAGAAAATCTACAATGTATCAGCCAGCACAAGGAAAACATTGCATCCTCTACTGAGACTCTTTCTAAAGTCAGTGTTGGAGAAAGCCTATTAAAAATGGTTTTCATTTCCTCCCTTATGTCTGAGTACTGTGAATTCTTCTTTTTTTTTCATATCTTTCTTGAATTTGTCTGGACTTGTAATTAGTAAATTCAATATGAGTTATTCCTATCCCAGAGTGTGCTGAGTCTGTAAATCTGAGAAATGCATTAATCTGTAATCCAAAATGTCTAATTATGTACTTATTTCTAGGACATCCTTTAGATACCTAAGGAGTAAGAACGGCTGCACAGGATGAGTGCATAGATGTGTCTATGGCATACTATACCAGGAAAGTTTTCAGCATCTTATTTCCCTTCACTCAGCATGAAGGGCTAGAATTACCTTTGAAAGCTTAGGAAATGACATCTGATAACATCAACTGTGTCACTGAAGGGGTAGGACATAGTTTTTCTGTATCGATGGTCTAGTTTCAATTTACATTTCTGACTGAATCAGTATTTGCAAACTGCATCACAAAAAAAAGAATTATAGTTTGACGATGCTGTGCACCTGGGAGAATAGACAGCATGTAACATAGTTTCAGAAATCACATTTCAGTTTTTTCCAAGCACTCTGCAGAAGTTACAGCTAGGGTTACGCTTCCACACTTTTACATGTAGATCCCTATATTTCTTTATATTTCTGCACTTATCTTTCTCCCCTTTAACTCCAGTCTAAAACAAGACAAAG